CTAAACTTTTAAAATCCTTATTTATTTCATTGTCTGATTAATCATCATCACATTTATATCTTGCCACAATCTAAACAGGCTCTTGGCAGCTTACCACAAAGATAAAACCCAGAATACATAATACAGAGACAAAATACTGAAAAATCCACTAACAACAATTAGGTGGTGTGATACAATTATTTTTTAATTGTTGTACGCCCAGAGTCACGTGTGAGATGGGCAGCTATATACATATGATTGATAAATAAACAAACAAACCAAATGCCCTCCAGGAGAGTTCCATCTTCAGCTTTCTTCGGAAAGGCACTTAATGTCAGAGCTAACTGAACCTCCAATGGGAAGCCATTCCAGATAGCTGCCCCAACCATCGAAAGACAACACTTACAGGCTGTGGCCCTCTTGAACTCCCCAAAATGGGGAATAACCAGCTGCTTCTCCTTTTTTATCTTATCCAATTTTTAAACTGCTGCAATGAAGCAACTCTCAGCAGTTTACAAGGATTTAGTCTATAATGTAAATCCAACCATCTGTAAACTGTGCTTTATAGTTTAGTGTTAGATCATAGTTTGTTCTAATCTTGATCTGTTTTATAAGTCACAATAGCTCAATTCACTCAACATTTTAAGTTGAAACTAAACAAATTATACTATAACTTCATGCTGTGGGCAAACCCAGCTAAAGACCCTGCTTTGTCTAAGGCAGTTTCTTTGTTTGATATGACATATGGCACTTTACCCAATTGTGTCCACTAACAATTAATTATTTTCCAGGAATGCATTTGAGGTTATGCTGTAACAATAAACAAAATCCATGCACTATATATCTAAGCACCTAGTTTAACTCAGACTATCTTAAAAAAAAGTTAAGTGAAGTTGGATGTAATGGATATTCGCATAGGAGACCTTCGGAAAATTCCAGGCTCAACTGGGAAGTTGAAAATGCATTCTTGATGAAGGCAGTGGCAAATCACTTCCATACTGTTGCTGCAAAAACTGCACAGGCATCAAAAGTCAAACTCAGGTTTAATAACAATGTGTGAAATTAGATGCAGGATTAGAGCAATTCAGAATAATTGAACCTAAGAGTTCAATGTGATTCATTTTCAAGCAAGCAGACATAAGAGTTCAAGACTGCTTATAAAGCATATTCAATTCTAAAGAAAGTTGGATTGAGCTTATATTTTCTGAGAACATAAGCAGAAATAATATATATGTATTATACGTACAAGTCCTTTTGATAAAACAGATTCTTCTGCCCTGCAAAACAAGTAACCGTTTGTAAACACCATATTTAAAGTTTTTATTTTGTTGTCTTTTCTAGAAACAGTTAAGATTCTTGTCACCAGTGTAATATATTCAAGATATATGAGTCAGATGCCTCTTCTAAACAAAGACCAAGCAAAGACCTTCAGACTAAACCTATTCTAAGAGTATTTTACAGAGGTAAGGACAGGATTACTACACTATATTTTTCAAGGCCAGCTATCCAGACAACAGAATGTTTTGTCAAGTCCTCTCACAACTACTGAAATGGACTACTATACACATGTTCTCAAATCCAAGTGAGAACTTCATAAGAGATCATTTATAGTTCAGTGCAAACTCAACTTTAAATATTAAAACTAATACCGACTCTGGTAAAATCAAGCCTTCATACTAAGTTCCTTAAAAATATGAACTAAAACACAATTTAGCCAATAAGACTGAAGTATATGCCTTCCATATTTCCAAACAAACTACTATTAATTGCTCTATTTTTTTCCTTAACACTGTACTTTAAAACTTTTGGAAACATGTGAATAAAAAGAGGTATACTTACCTTTTCAATAGAATTCTAACATGCCCCATATTGCACTGCAAAATATATGATGGGCTATAACAGATAGTGATGCATACATGTAAGAATAAATTATCAAATAAAGACAGTCACTTTCAATATCTAAACAATGAGCATGATGAGTTAGAAGATTCAGCAAACCAGCCTCAGCAAAAAATGGTAGATGTTGTACTCCTGATAAGATGGTGATCTGCTAGAACAATTTGTTTGTTTCTCTCTCTCTACTACTTTGAAGGCAGCTTTGTGTGTCGTTAGCAAAGATTTAGAAAGCAGAAATATTAATCTCGCCCTTAATTACCTTAAACACAAGATGGCTATTCAGATTGTGGCAACATTACAGCAATCTATTGAGAAATAATAAATTTGAAGGAGGTGATATAATTTATGCATAGATTTTCCATGCTAGGGAGGAGGTTAGGCCTCCCCCCCATTTATTTCCTTTTTTTACATTCATAGCTTGGGAGGGAAGGAGAGGTGGCTATAACCTTGGAATGTCTTTGCTGGGAGACCCTAGAAACTAAAAAAAAACAAAAACAAAAACCCTTTCTTCTTCCAATTGTTAGAATATTTGTATTTTAACCAAGAATCTGGATCTAGCCTGACCACCACTCCTTACAGTAAATATTTTTAATGTTGTTGTTGTTTTTTTTGGTAAATCAGAGGTATAATTAAGTGGTAGAGGACTTTTTATAAATTGAAGAGGATGTAGTCTGAAGTTGCTTTGATTTTATTGGAAGAAATTCATGCAGTCCCTTATGAGAAACATCTTTTGTCACACAGTGGATCAATTAGTTTTATATAAGTGGAAATTTTTCATCTGCTACATCTGTTAGAGGAATAGTGGTTTTAATTAAGATGTCTTTTAATTTTCTAGTTAAACATGAAATGTTGGATCTGAAAGTCACTATATAATCTCCATTTTTGATTGCCAAATGGCTTGTGTAAATTCTTGCAGCCAACGCTTTATTTATCTGTTTAAGCCAATATGTTGCTTCAGTCACAGACTCTAGGACAAACTTTTCATTTAACATAACTGTTCTGCAAATTTGTTTGAATTATAAGTGGGCCAGATTATCATTGCTGGGGAATTTAATTTTGGATCTGTTAGTGAAGTGGGACAAGACTCCTAGGAGGAAAAAAAAAAAAAAAAAGCATGTAGAGCTAGAATATTTTTCAAACTTACATCCAAAAATTTAATCTACCTGATATATAATGACAGTTAAATCCAAACAAGCAAGGCTATACTTTTTTGTCTATGCTGCATGGTGTATGTTTGAGACTGGATTATTTCTTAGTATTCTGATTGAAGTTCAATTAGTGAAAAATGTATCATTTCAATTACAATTTCTGATCATGTGCAAGTAGTATCATTAGTCATGAGGAGAAAAAATTCAACTAATGGAGGCAATATTATGAAAGACAACCCTCAGATGAACAACAATCAAAGATATGGATTTTTTTTTTCAAATATACAGAGAATTGATTAATATAATGATAGTCTGGGATGCATTTAAAGAATTTCTACAATTTAACCACATATGCTAGGATTCACATCCTGGAAGCACATCATGCTTTTAGATCAATTAAATTGGGGCTTGATCGATTATATACTTTAAAAACTGAATAGTTATCAGAGCATATTAAGCAGGTTCGCTGTGAAGGGAGAAATCTGCTACATTGTTAACTTTTCACTTAAAACAGCTGGAACAAAGTGAGATCACTACAATAACAGATTCTTGGGGGATAATTCACAGTGATCAAACAAACTAATTCTCAATTTTTGGAATTTTATAACGATCTATATTCTGAAAATACTAGAAATTCCCAGATGAAAGCCTTTTTAAGTGGAACTAATCTTCCAGAAACAGCTACTTTGGCAAGCTTAACTAAGGCATTACCGTCAATAATTCATCCAGCACAATCTGAGTTTATGAAAGGGCATATCAGACTACTAGAAGATTTATTATAATTCCACACTGAAAAAAATGAAGCAATAGTTTTGGGATTATTAGATGTAGAAAAAACTATTGAGTATGTGTAATTCAAGTTTCTGGTACAAGTGATAAAGAAATTGTATTTTTTTTAGAATTTATTTCTGGATAAAAAGAAGTAACTTAGTCTCTGTCACATTTTTATTAGGGAGGAGATAATCCTAATGGGATAATAAAAATGAGACAGGACACATACCAACCATGCCCTCAATTTTTGCTAATATTTAATACAGTATTGGAATTTTTCAGACAATAATAAAACAATCTTGCCACATTCAGGGACTGTGCAGACCAGAATTTGAATGTAAGTCATTCCTATATGCTGATTATATTTTCAACGGTTATCACTTATTTTTATCTAAAATTATGGAAACTATACAGCTCTGTGGTAAATATTTTGGGATTACAATACTTTACAATAAGTCTAATATTTCAAATTGGATGTCAGCTTTTAAGTTGGCTTTGTATTGAAAGGCAAAGTTGGACAATATGATCCCATATGGTCCAGATTTAACTCATTGTTTCCCAACTATTTGTATAAACATAATACTATTACGCTGTTATAATAAAAAAGTAATAGTAGATTTTTTTCCTGGATGTTTAGTGGTTTTTTCCTTCCTTATTATTTCTCTGTTCTTTTTTTCCTTTAGTTTCTACCCCCGCCCCTGGGCTTTCTTTTTTAGTTTATCCTGTTTGAGTTATACTTTTTAGGTATGTATTTTACTTAATAATAGCTTAAATAAAATTAAATGTATGACTTCTGTTCTCAACTATTCTTAATTATATTATTTCTTACACTATTGGTATAGTCAGTTATTGATTTAAAAATCCACTAGAATACCTTTCAAAAACTATATACATGGTATACCAAAAGTCAGGCCCTGTACGCCAATCACAATATGTTTTATTAATTAATGTTTTTCAGAGAAAATGGTACTGTACTTAGGAATGCTCTAAGGTCATGCGTCAAACAAGTAAGGAACTATTAGGAGAAAATGGCAACCAATTCAAACATTTAAAGTAATTTATATACTAAATTGTCTACGGGGCCTGACTTTCTCTATGGGGCCTGGTGTAAATGTTATTCACTTAAATAGAACTTGTCTGCCTGTCCACCACCAGATACTTAATTTTGTCCCCCTAAATGAGAGCCATCTTTTGCCATCTCTGCTGAGTTGGTCTGGAATAGAGAGCCCTCTATGCCTCAGCCATTTAGCCAAACCCAAGCCTACAAAAATAAGAACAATACAGTACTTACTTGAAAACTACTGGGAGGCAGTCTATACCAAAGCAGTCCTGAACAAATACCATATAAGATAGACACGCTAAAGCATCTCTAGACTGTTCCTTGTCCATTTCCAATAAGTCTTCATTATCCCAGTTTTCACTTTTGCATATAGGCTGAAAAAGCACTTGTGGAAATAATTCTTTAATATCCAATAAAATTCCCTGTTAAAAGAAACAGAATACCTCCTGCTGCAAATAAAGAGATACCAACATGCAGTACTGCTTTTCATGGCTAAACATCTTAATGTTGAGATATACTGAAATGCACCCAAACATAATGTCTATGCATGAATTTCAGCCCCTCCCCCCAAAAAATCTAAAGGAGAAAAATGCATGTGTCTTCTTTACTTTAATATTTTATCTCTTTATATCAGATTTCAAGGATGTTTATAGTTTTTATATAATACTGTAGTGATGGGCAAGCTCCCATTCATGGAAGCCTCTGTTGCATGGAGACCAAGAGCCTTAGGCTCCAAATACCATATCCCAGATGCCAGAGCAAGCAGACAAGTGAGTTCATAATGACTTCAAATACAAGCACAGACACAGACAAAAGGAACCTACGGTCTTCCCTTTCTTGGCTAGAGAGATCCAAAATCTACTCATTTGGAATCTAGCCTCACTGAGGGGGGAGAGGTGAAGGAACCACCCTTTCTGGTGATACGTCATACCTTACATACCTGCAGGAGGCAAGCAAAGGGAAAGAAGGGAAAGAGATTCTCAATCATTTTAAAAACCAAATGGGTAGCCTGGGGCATGTCCAACATATTCTCCTTTACCCTGCCCTTGTTGGATAAAATCTTTGGGCTGAAAGAAAGCGGAGAGAGAATACCTAAGAAGAATGCCTGGAAGAAAAAGGAGGAGAGGGAAAGTTGTAGGCAAAATGCAGACTAGAAAAAGGAGATGAGTCTGCCTACCAGGATGAGGTGGACTGGCTGCTTTCGTGGTGCGGAGACAATAATTTGGCTCTTAAT